TTTCTATTTTATTAAGGTCAAGTGTTATTTGAGAATTTGTTGCTGATTGTGTAATTCGTTTCCATCCGTCACTAACTGTTAATGATCTAACTAAACAAAGAACATGATATCCTTTCTTTTGAAGTGCTTGAATTAAATGAACTCCAAGGAATCCATTAGAACCAGTTAAGAAAGCAACTTTCTTTTGATTTGGTTCAATTTGAATTGGTTCGATTTTAAGATTTTGAATATCTTCAATATCTTTCTTAAATTGTGGATGAATAAGGTCAAGTTTTGGATTTAATACATATTCTTCTAAAAGGCCTATTGTTGGACATTTAGTTAATAAATCAAATGGTGCGTCTGAAACAAATCTTCTAATTAATCCTACGGTCTGACTACCAACTAATGAATCTCCTCCAATGTCAAAGAAATTCATCTCTTTAGAAATAGCTTTTTGTGGAATTTCAAACCATTCTGACCATAAAGAAGCAATGGCATGACCAGCTTCAGTAGATGGAGGACATGGATTATTTTCGCATTTATTTTGCCAATACATTTTAATTTTTTCTGCAGCCATCTTTCTGAGTTCAGGATTATATACTTTACCAAAACTATTTAATGGCATCTTTTCTATTATAAAAATATGTGTTGGTACTGCAAATGATACTAATCGTTGTCTACAATACTCTTTTAATTCACTTTCTTTTGTTTCTTTTTTTAATGTAACAAATGCAACAATAAGTTCTCCTTGTGCTCTATCTGGAACAGATACACAACCAGATAAAACAACATTAGGATGTGTTTGAAGAGTGTCAACAATTTCTGATGGGAATACATTATGACCACCTCGAATAATCATATCTTTAACTCTTCCAGTAATGATTAATCTTCCATACTTATCTAAATTACCTTCATCACCAGTCTTAAACCATCCATCTTCAGTGTAAGATTCTTTATTTGCTTTCTCATTATTTAAATAACCAGACATCATAATTTTAGTATTAACTTCAATCTCTCCTGGAACTCCAACTGGTGTAATTTTACGAGTTATATGGTCAACAATTCTTAATTCATAATGTGGTTGAAGTTGTCCAACTGTAGTAGTCATTGTATACATTACACCACATGTTTCTGTCATACCATAACCAGATTTACAATCAAGAAGACCCATTTTATTTTGTGCTTCATTCATTAAAGCATCACTAACAACTGCACCTCCCATAATAACATGTTCAACACTTTTTACTTTTTCTGTACTAAAACTAGGATGATGAATAAGTGCTAAAATACCTGATGGGGCACAATTAACATTAGTAATTTTTTCTTCTTGAATAAATTTAAGAATACTTTCTGGTTCAAATTTATCACAAACAACTACAGTTGCTCCTGCAGCAAAAATAGCATCAATTTGGAAATGTGCTGCTGTAGTAAATAATGGTGTAAAACAAAGAGCTCTTCTTCTTTCTACTGGAGTATTTGTAGTATGATCAATAGTAATGAATGGATTAATCATTGCAAAATGAGTATAAGTACAAATTTTAGGTTCTCCTGTTGATCCAGAAGTACATCCATAAAATGAAACATCACTTGGTTTTAAAATTTCTGAAACTTCCTTTACGTAGTCTCTTTCACAAGGAGAAGAAAGAAATTTTTTCAAAGAATAAATTTTATTTGAAGGATCTTCTTCTAAGTTAGGATCAACAAAACAAATGTTGTAACCGCTTGGAATATTTTGTTTCATTGCTGTTAATGAGATAATTACTGATGGATTTACTCTTGGTAATAATCTTTCAAGTTGTGGTTTTGTGTATAATGGATTTAATGGCATCATTATATAACCTCCACATAATGCAGCTAATTGTGAATAAACATATTCACAACAATTTGGAAGATAAATGGCAACAACTGTATGTAATTCCATATGAATCTCATTTTTAAATCCTTGAATTACACAATTTAATGTATGAAGTAACTGTGAGTATGTATGTCTAATATTTGCTCCAGTTCGACTAGATCTAAATACAAAACATTCTTTATTAGGATTCTTTTCAACTATTTCTAAAAAGTGTTTTGGGTATGTAGTTTCTTGTAATGGAATACTAGTACTTCCAATAAGATGTGATTCAGTCAAACTCATGCAACTTAAAATACTTTTGAAGTTCTTCTTTTTCTTTGATAAATTTGACTCCCATTTTTTATTATTTTATATAAAATAATAAAAAAGTTATAATAATATAATTTTATTTTTTCAAATGAAAAAAAAAAAAAGAAACTGCAAATAAAAACGAAATTTCCACAGTTAATTTTGTTGTAACTTTTCATTTTCAAACCTCTTTTTAAATGTTTTAGAAACTAATTTTTCAGTCTTTGTTAATTTTCTCTTTTCTTTTGAATCAATCCTTGCTTGAATTTCATTGACTGTTAATTCAGGTTTTTGAGAACGATGACAATACACACATTTCAAACGTTCACAATTAGCTAATTTATTTCCTTCTAAAATCTTTGCACAACAACAACATCTAAAACATTTTGTATGATAAAGTTCATTACCTCTTTGAGAACAAGGATCTTCTCCAGTGATAAGAAGATTACAAAATCGGCATACCATTGAAATTGATTCTCCAGAATCTAAATTTTCCATTACAAACCCACAATCAACAAATCCATATGACTCTTTAGGTGGAAGACGATTAAATGGACATAAAGTTTCAATTTGATATTCATCACTCTTTTGTTCTGCTCTTGTATTGAAAAACATAAAACACATTTGAGAATCTTCAAAACTTTCAAAAAATAGTTTATCATCTTCATTTAGTTTAGATACAAAAGTGTCTCTATCAAATGAGTATTTAATTTTACCACCTGGATTAGCTTTAAAACATTGGAAATAATTATGAAATATTTTAAAGAAGAATAGTTGAAACATATTATAAATAGTATCATTCTTTAATTCAATATTTTCATCTGGGTCTGGATCATTCTGAATTAATGATAATTGTGAACGAAGAAGAATAGAATTTGGGGAAGTAAATACCATTGGAAAGACAGGTCCTTCAATCTGTTGTCCTTTTTCTAAATCAATAACAATAGTATCTTCCATTCCTCCATCACATTCTTTCTTTACGTGTTCCCATAAAGATGTTTTAATTCCAATCAAATAAGGCATTGGTGCAGTTGGGTATGAGGCTAATTGAACAGGTAAAATAGGAATTAATACGTGATGCCAAACAAAAGGATAAATCAATGATGTTAAAGTAAGGATTGTATCAGATAATGAACCAATTGAATTTGATAAAAACACAAATTTTCTTTCCATCATAATATCACCAATTATATCAACTAAAAATGAAGCACCAAATAATTTTAAAATATTTAAAACATTTGATGAATGATGCTTACTAAAATCTTCTTCTGAAGATATTTCATAAGGAATATGATGAAATGATATATTTGTTAATACACCATTAATTGAAGGTACATTTTGTTTTGCAATATCTTCAAAAAATTTAGATAATAAATTTATTGATATTTTACGTATTGCAACGGCTTTGTCTAATATTTTTTTAAATAGAGATTCAAATGGTCTATTTATTTTTATTCATTCTATTTTATTTAAAATAACTGACAAACCTCTCTGCAATAATACAAAAACATTCAGGAAATTTAAAATTTGAAAATCGTCTACAATAAACATATCTTCTATTAGCACTAATATCTGTAAGAATAAATGCAAATGACTCTTGTTTCTCATAGTCAATGTGATAATTTAATCCATCTTTTTTATTAATCATTGACTCTCCTTCTGGAAAACAAAATGGAAAAACCATGTTTTGTAAAACAGTATCTTTGTATGGTTGTTGTGATATACATTCATATGACATTCCTTCTTCAATTTGAGTACATTTAAAGTGAATAATATTTTCAATTAATTTCTCTTGTTTTTCCATTTTTGGTTTTTGATATTAATTGATTTACTAGTTTCTTCTAATTTCTCAGTTTTGTTTTCTATTTTTCGTATTTTTATTTTTTTTGGAATTATTTATAGAATATTACTCCAAAAAAGATGTCTTTTTATCTTGTTTTTTTTCAATACCTTTCTTTTTGATTTTATTCTCTGATTTTTCCAGATAAAATGATATTACTGATATCATTTCTTGTTTTAGTTAATTTCTTTTTTTGTGCTTGTTTGTATTTCTTCTTATTTAATAGTTATAATTTTAATATATACTTTAGTATTTAAGAAAACTAAAATAACTCATCTGTATTATTTTGTTCGATTGACCTCTTTTAATATTTATATATTTAATATCAACGACTCCTTTCTATAATTTTGATTTTTTTCTTCATTTTATTGACTTTCTATAATGTTAATGTAATTCATTGATTGTGATTTCTTATTCTTCTTTTATTTTCTGGTATGATATTTTTCTTTTTCTTCTTCTGTTTATCTAACTATTTCTTTATCATATTGATACATTTTTATTTTATTTATTATTTCTTTATAACTTAAATATTTCTGTTGATTTCTTATTTTATTTTATAGACTATATTTTAAATTTTATTTTATTCTTTCTATTCTTTCTTTTAGTAAATCATATCATTTCTTTTTTAAATTTGGTATATTAACATAAAGAAAGAAATATAAGCATAATATAAATAAAATAAAAGATAAATAAAAAGAATAAAATAAACATTTTATTATATGTTTATTTATCTTTTATTCTTATTTCTTTTTATTATTTAATAAATTAACACCCCCCCTTTGGGTGGGAGTCTTTCAAATGAAATAAAATAAAACCAGAATGAAATATGTCCATTTTTATATTCACCATCATTTATTGATAGATAAAATACTCATATTTATTTATTGATTTTATTTTATATTCTTTTTTAGTTTTCAAATAAAATATTTAATATTTTTAATTCAATTACAATGATTCGTTGTTTTGTGAAATATTCTGGATCTTGTTTTCAACAAAACAAGTACATTTGATATTCCTTTACATTCATATGAAAATTGTTTACAATATGATTCTGTTTTAATAATTTCTTTTATAAACATTAATATCACAATATCAATACAATTTTAAACAAACAACAATCTGATCAATTACATAAACCAAAAGCATCTTGTTGATATTTAATATCAAATTTTATCATTCCTTTTATTCTTCTTTTGATTCAATTGAAAATAAAAAAATGATTTTGGATCATTTATATAATCATTAACTTTACCAATTTTAGAATTAACATTCCAGTTATTATCTGAGTCAAATATTATATTGGATACCTTTCTATTTGTCAATTCTTCTATTTGTTTCATTTCTTCTTGTGTTTTTTCTTGTTTCTTTTTCTTCATCTTTTTTTCTTCTTCCCCTCTAAATAATCATTATAATATGTGTTCCATTCTTCTTTCTTTTTGTTAAATTTATGATGATTTATCATTTTGTTATTATATTTTTGTTTGTTTATTGTTCATGTATTATTTTGTTTGAATTTTTGATTGTTAGTTTATTCTTTATTTTATTTCGTTTTATATTTATTTCTTTTATTATCTTTGTTATTTTATTCTTTTTTATTTCTTTATTTCTTGTTTTTCTATTATTTCTTTTGTTCTTTTTGTTTCATTTTATCATTATCTATTCTCATTTTTTATTTGTTTGTTATTTCATTGTTTTATTTCAAATATTTCATTTGTAATAGTTCTTAAATAATTATAATGTTTAATAATAACATCAATTGATTGATGAATAAATTAAAATTATTCTATTCTTCTTTATATAATCGAATATTGATAATTATTATTTCTACCATTTTAATTTAATTAATATCAAATCAAAATAAAATATTTAAATATTTAAATACACATTTATAACATTTCATTTTATTTATTATTTTATCATATATTAAATTTCACTTTTATTGATTTTAAATAACAATAACAAAAACAAGAAAATAGAAGATAATAAAAATCTCATCACAAATAATGATAAAAACAAAATAATAATAGAAATGAAAATGAAATAGAAATGAAAACATAAATAAAAGAACAATATACTTCCATTCAATGATAAAAATGATAATTAAATGATGATAATTAATAAAATCAAGAAAGAATGAGAAATTAGAAATGATAGAGAAATAAGAAATATTGATGTTATAATCTGAATTTATGAGACAAATGATAAGATAAAGAAAAAGCAATAAAGAAATAAATTAAAACAACCAATAAATAAAATAAAATAAAAAATAAGAACAAGTAGAAAAAGATAAATAATACACAAAATAATATCAAACCACCAATATGATAAAGAAAGTTAACAAGAAAGAAATATAGAAATAGACATTAAAATAAGATAT